AGGCGGAGAGATGGTAAGGGGTTGATTCTGAAGGATTGCTGGAGAGAATAGGGAGGGCGGGGGGAGGGAGAGAGTCAGTGGAGAGGGAGGGAAACTAGAGGGAGGGGAGAGAGGGGAAACAGTAAATGAGAGGAAAAGTAGGGTGTGCAAGCAAGGAAAGGAAGTGTGAAAGTAAATACAGAAAACAAGACTAACACCAGAGTGCGGCGCAATCCCTGTTATTGTAGTCCAAAGTGTTTAATGATAGTGGAAACTCCTTGGCTATTAACTAATGCTCTCGTTTATGAACCACAAATTTTCCTGAAATGAAATAATGTACAATTGTTGGTATTATGATGTTTTTTTTTGACAAATCTCCCAGACAGTATGTACAGTTCATGTGCACACACACTTGTGAATTCACACTTCAACCACTCAAAAACAGACACAAACAGTATCTCAAATTGGAATCATTATCAACAATTTAATCATACAACTGGGAAAATATTCTTGCATGTTTGTTTGATTATGATTGATTGTGCCTGTGAGTGTGTGTGTGCGTGTGCATGTGTGTAGGTGCAAACAAGTGCATTTTGTTTGTCTATCTACCGAGATATGTCACTCCCTTTTTGACACTACTATATTTCCCTTCCTGTTAAGGGATTATCCATAAGCAAAGCCTTGTGAAAGAGGGTTCTTGACGCTCCAATGCATCGTGTGCAATGCATGCAGCTGTGTGTTTGTATGTATGTATGTGTATCTGCATGTGCATGGTGTGCATCTGTATATGTCAATTTTGGTATTGGTAATGCTGTTGTTGCCATATCACTGCAGTTATGGTGGGTTTAAGCTCTCACAACAATACCTACCTACAAAGAGCTCCATTCTCTGTGTGGTTTTATTGTAATTTGAAAATAATGCAGGAATTCCCATTGATAAAGACAATAAGCTGCTTTCAGCAAATACAAAGCCTCAGTTTAGGAAGAATAGCATCACTGTGCAATGGGTTTCATGGGGTAGACTTTTGTGAATTATCCTTACACATATACACTCTCACACTATAATGTGCATATTGGTTTAGCTTGTGAATCTATTATTTACCCAAAAGTTTAAAACAATTTATATTATAAAAGGTTACAATTTATCTACTGCCTCATGATAAGAGCACATTTGAAATGCCCTCAATCTAGCAATGTGCTCTGTAGAGCTGTGACCACATTACCAACCAGTGCATTACTAAATGTACTGTCCACTACTGTACACGCCTCTTCAGTTTCTCCCAACCCACCACTTGCCTGGCCATCTCTCCCACTATATTCCCCAAGGCTTTCATTCATAAATGCCTATAGAGCGTGTCTAGTTTCCTATCCATCCAATAATCCGATCTTCCACCCGTATAGTATTCATCCTTTCTGCTGCCAATTAGATACAACAGACCAATTTGCTTTTAACTGCAAGAGATATTTTTTATCAGACCACTCATTAGTTCTACGTTCATCATGGATTAGACAGCAAGATGTAGGTGATTTCAATCTAAAACACTGTGAAAAGTGGATGAAAGATAGACATAGATCTAAAATAATTCCCTTTGATATGTGCAATATTAAAGAACATGGGATTGTAAATTGTTGACACACTGACGGCGTCACACAGTTCGAGTGAAATGTAAGTGCTGGAATATAGATGCAGGACGGCATGACAGTGAAGACAATGTTAATGGGAAAATTCAAGTGTAAAACCTAGTCAAGTCATTAAGGCAGTTTGCGTAAATTACTGTAATAAAATAAGGGGATTGTGAAATTTCTGCCACTGGAAGCTCTTTTTCCAACTGCAAAATTACCAGCCATTCTGGTTTATCACATGGCCGACCGCCGCCCCAAAACAGCAACACATATGCGCTTTTCTCTTTATTTCATTCTTTGCAGCCACCCTGGCTAACCAGGTCAGTGAACTGGTCGGGTCGAATGTGAAGGAGAAAAGGAAATCCTATCAATTATGGCCTCATTTCAAACTTTAGCCTGCGGCTAATGAGCTCCAAACCAACCAAAAGTGGGCTAATGCTTGACCTTTGACTAACAGGGAAACTTGCTGCAGGATGAATAGTGAAATTGAGTGTTACAGCTGCAAGAGTCTCCCGTAAAAGGGTTTCGCTCTTTACCCCTGAAAGTGTTATTGCAAAAAAACACATGTCCCATTTAGAAAAAAGAGGGGCAGACGTCAAATTTTTGTTAATGGGCAAAACGACTTTCTTAAAGCTCATCCTCACTAAGAGAATACTTTTTTTTAGATGTGTGTTAGATACCTAAATTTATCGTTGGCAAATTACAATACAACTGATGCTATGAATAGATACTGCATTAGATACCTATACTCCATTATTCAATGTCATAGTATTTTAAAAAGGAAACTTTTCATACATTTCCATTTATTAAAGATATGTTAGGCATGTATAATTGAATAGCGGTTGGCTCTGACATTTTGCTAACGTCAATATTACCATAAACTTAAATAGTTTTAAAAGTTGAGCTGCATTCATTGTCCTTCTTCATTACTTTCCCAAGTATTTTATGAAGTTACTTTTTTCAATAACATGGCTGTCCAGCTGATTGCTCATTGCTTATACGTATATAAGTTCCTCATCGACTGGACAGTCCAACAGATCAACCACAGCAAACCTTTTCTTTACGAAGGATTTGTTGGATTTGTCGTATGTACTTTTTCACAGCAACGTAGCAAAGTAGCAGACGGCCGCAGCTCGCATGTATGAGAGGATGACTTTCATGCATGTCATGTAGTGTCACTCAAAGGAAGTACAGGGCAGAAAACACTTATCGCCCGTGGACACACAGAACGAAGTTGCAAAAACGTCTACTTCCCAAAACGGAATGTTGACAAGTGTCTACAAAAGGAATTGGACCGCGATAGATAACATGTAGGACACATTTCTGCAGAAAATGACAAACTATTTGTTCATTGAACACGGAACAGTATTTTTTGCTACATCCTGGATGAACTAGTTGTTCTGATGTGATGTAATCTTGTTTGTCGTTTAATGAAGTTCAAAGGAACTAAGAAACATAAAAGCTGTAGACTGCTGAGTGGCAGACAACAATGTAGCAACAACTGTTTTATCAAGAAATATATATAGTCTATTTCCCAAAACTATTAAATTAAATGATAAAACTATGACACTATTACACTATGATGACAAGGATGTTGTGGTACAGACATCCAGAGTTCACTCCAAAGGCAAAACAGCCACTCAACGGTTTTCACTGGCATCAGTCTACTAAGAAGATGAGCTCTCCTGACAGCATCCTTCCCACAGAAGAGGCAATACAAGCTTACTCAGTGGTCTTAGTGGAATTGCATTCATCTGATTACTATAGGATGTAGCATGTTTCAACAGAATTTGAATAAATCTTAATATTCTGAAAAACTAAAAACATCTTTCTGTAAAGTTGAGCTGAAATTGGAAAATAGTCTTATGACAATCAGTAGGATAAAAAGAAAGAGAAATGCATGAATGATCAAACTGCAGTTTGATGATTTGTAAGAAACATTTGCTCTCTCTCTTCTTTCTCTCCCTTATCCAACACACAAAACACACAATTGACACTGTTAATTCTCTCCGGTGTAAATCTCCTGCGCCCCCTGATGGTGTTCCATGGACATCCATTCAACTCTCTCCGCTGTCTGTTCCAGTTATAACACCCACACGTACAAACAAGCGCACAGACCACAACATACACACACACACACACACACACACACACACACACACACACAAACACACACACACACACACACACACACACACACACACACACTACCGCACACACAAAACCGTGATGGGTTGTTTGCAGAATACAAATCTCTAGCTCATTTTTTCCGACCTGTCATTCTTAGCCCGTCAACTAGTCGACCCCCCTTCAGATGAGTCACCTGCCTTCACATTTACGCCCCCCCATTGGTGCATTTACTGTACAGGTACATTGCCCGGCCAATATTCCCACTTTACCAGATTGTGTTGATTGCTCAGTAGACCTACTATGTCTTTGTCTTGTTCTGCAGCTATGGATCTGTGTTTGTGACCAACAGCCAGCCCTCGAAAACCATTTGCCAGCTCTGCCTCTCTGGGTGCATTTAACAGGTTTTTATGTGCATATGTGCATGAGCCTGCCTATTAAGTATAAACAGATTATTTCAAACATGCCTTGCCTTCTGTATCTGTTACTACCGAGTTACTGATATACAAAACAGCAACAACCAAATGACTGTTTCATACAGTCTCAACGTGATCTAAATAGTACCAGTACCATTCAAAGGTTTGGGCATATTTTCTCATTCAATGAAAAAGTGTGTCCAAACTTTCGACTGGTACTGTGCACACCGTGTACACCACAGCGTTTGTTGAATGTCCAGTAAAGTGTTGCTCAAAAAGAGACAAAATATATATAAAACATATCCCGTGTCATGTTATGTTGCATTCTAGCTTGTATGGTTGTGTTCTGAAAGATATTACGTGTTTAACAAGGACAAATATAAGTGCTACCAACTGAGAATGTTAACAAAAGCTATTACACACAGCTTGTTTAAAGACAAGATGGAGATGATACACATAATTGCAACTAATTTAAACTACTTATTAACTACCACTTATTATTCACTATAATTTTCATGGCAACACAAAATAGACATTGTCAAGCAAGTTGTCCTTCATGCAAAGCTCTTAGAGCCTCGCGTGGCCTAGATAGAGATTCCAGATGAATGAACCAACAAACACACGGTCTACTTGCCAGTGATGGTCTTTTCTTTCCAAACATCGTATAGGAAATTGCAGCATAGAACTTAAACAGAGCCTCCCAGTACTTGCTGTAACCACTTTACCTCCTTTATATCCAAGCTGTGGCCAACGTTCTTTGTTCTGCATGTGTGCCCTTCACTCGCTTTGAAAGGTCGCACCAAGCATAAGCTGTTCAGATGCCCTGTTGACCGAGTGCACTTCTGTTTGGTCTTACCTTGGTATGGAGCTTGAACAGCTGCTTTTCATCCAGGTGAGTCTGGGTGTACACACGTCTTTTATAGCGGAACTGAAAAACAACAACACACATAAGAGGCCAGGCAGATTTAACCCTGTCCCTTAGTGCGTGCTTTGATTGCCTGACAAACAAAACGCTCCATAAAAAATACACTGCGAAACAAAATTGTGACTAAAACACATGGTAGAATTTGAAAATCCAACCTTCATCTCATCAGTAGCTATGACAACGGTGCAATGGATTATTTCACAGTTGAATCATATTTGTTGTTATAATACAACAAATAAGGAACATATACAATTCAAACTTTTCAAAAGACTGATGGTTATTTGTTTGTCTTTGCAGTCTACTTGTTCAATAGAAGGTTTCACCAAACACTAACATCTGTAACAACTATGTGTGTGTGTGTGTGTGTGTGCGTGTGTGTGTGTGCTACTGCATGCAAGCATCGGTGTGTCTGTGTATGTCGGTTTCTCTGTCGATGTGTGGTGTGATTCCACAATGGAGCAGAGCGGTTTTGAGCAGCTAATCCAAAACCGTCATCACCTCCACACACAATAACATAGTTTTTAATAATAACAGTACCTCTCAATGCATCAGAGCTTTACAATAAACCGAGGATCAAAATGGAAAGTAAACCTTGCATGATGGACAAGCACGCAATTATCTCCAAAAAATGACAAACCATTGCAGAAAACACATTGCTATTGAGCGTATCTTTGCTGCTAGATTAGACTGACTCTTCATGAAAGAAGAAGCACACAGGACATGTGCATTCCCACACCATCATGCCTTGTGAACATGCATGTTTGTGATTGGGACGCACATGTCTTGAAAATGACTTAAGCGGATACTATACAATAACTACAGCATGTAAGGTGCAACAGGTATCGTGTGTTCCGTGTATGTGAAGAAAAATACATGAAAAAAGTAGTGTGCCTCAAAGGTAAAAAGCTGTTACACACTGTGGGCTGCATGTGTCCTGGCCTCGCTGTTATATAGTGTTCAGCACTACATTATTGATATACTTCTTCCAGGGCTGGACAACTAACTGGACAAGGACGTCAATTATTGTCTAGTATTATTATCACACAATGCCATTATTGCCAATTATTAGGCACTCTGAGTACTACTGCGTTATTGACTAAAGCTCATAACCATGTTTGCTAAGATGCTGGTGTCTCTTGCTCTCTCCTGCCAACACAGCTTGAAGCCTGACACACACACACACACACACACATGATCCACACCTACCTCCAGGTAAGGTATGGGAGCGAGGGATGGGAAAGGGTATTCCCTTAGCTGTCTCTCCTCGTCAAGAAACTTGCCAGCCTTGCCGTTGTAGGCCGGCTGGAACAGGCCGTAGTTGAGCACATCCTTCAGGCTCTGGTTGAGCGTGCACAGGATTCGCTGCTTGGACTGCCAGATCGGAGGATCCACATTAAATTTCATACATTTCTGCGGACAAGAGTGAAAGAAGGTAAGATGTTAAGTGCTGCGTCTTTCTGACTATCACGTATTGCATGTGTTGCGATAAACAGAGAGATTGAAGAGTGATATTTTATTTTATCACACAAATATTATGTTACGGTGTTGAAAGAGGTGCTACAAAAAATTAATCCAAAATCTTGCATTACAGAGAAGTGCATTAAACTTCCAAAGTCATGCCCGGGGAGAAGCCCTTTATTATAATAAGCAATTCACATAGGTAAGGCAGTATTTCAACATTATCCATTAGTTCTCACAAAAGGTCATCCTAAAAGCCAGCGGTAGTCAGAAAACTAAAGTAAACAAAACATTAATATAAAGCAAAAGCTCTTACAGAACCACTCATCTGACGCCCATATTGCAGCAGAATACATTTGATTCGAAATGTGAGTGTGCAATATTCATGCTCTAAAAAACTAAGCGGGGAAATGTGACTGCTGCAAAAAGAGCTGCAGTAGGTTTGTCATCAGTCACAAATGAAACATCTCAGGTACCGTAAGGGTGCCTGTGGGACAAAGAGCACCGATTTGGTTAAATTCTGTGATCTAATAAGAAAATGTGTTCACATTACATCGATTAAGAGATAACCTTTGTACCACTCTCTTTTAAATTTTGCAGTTACAAAAAATTGATAGAGTTTGGTTAACTGTTAATTGAACTGCACATATTTGTAATACAAGTCCAGAGTGTTAAGCACAATGGTTATTGGGTGCAGGCAAAGCACTTCCCTCTATCTACCACATTGTGGAGCCGGAGAGAGAGAGAGAGAGAGAGAGAGAGAGAGAGAGAGAGAGAGAGAGAGAGCGTGCAAAACACACAAGTAATAAATCGATCACTGCCGCCTGCAATATTGATTTGCCACTTCAACTCTATTCTGTTCAGCATCGCCGTGTTTCTGACTCATTGTACATTCTGGCTCAAAATTCCCAGGTGTTGACTGTAGGAAAAGCATCTTGCTTTAGGCTCATTGAATATTTTTAATGGTCTGATTTTGATGAATCGGGGTGAAATCAATCTACATCTTACTTAAAATGTTTAGAAGAATCTGTGTTTGCTCAAGAAAGCTACATTTACAGTGTGAAGTCAAACAAGGGTTTCCTTGATAAGAACCATATGATAAACTCGAAGGCAATGATAAACTGAGGTACCTTTGTGTGCGGTTGTGTCGATAACTTGTGATTGGTTGTCCGGTGATGGAGAAGCTTGTGTGATGGTGGCGGCACGGTGAATGGCTCGGTTGTTTGGTAAGTATTGTGATCCACACTCACGTCCCTGAATCGTTTTTCACAGGGCTTAAAACTGGAAACGACTTGCGTATTCTTTGGAACGGGTTGAGTGTGAAGAGGTATCGGGTCCATCGATGCACGGACGATCACGGGTGCTTTAAATATTGAGCGGGAGTTCTGTGTTTTGTGCATTTAACGTATTTAAACTGGGTCGACACCGCAGAAAGAAATAGCACTCGGCCGCTAATGTGAAAGAAAATAAATACTGGGGAAACTGGAGAAATTTAAGGAATTTTAGTTTAGCACGGAAAGCAACTTCACGTCCATAGACCTTTGTGCTGTACTTTAACGACAGCTACTTGAAAACCTGAGAAATAAAAGGCCCAGGAAGGTATTTCCCCACAACTATGAAAGCTACCATCAAATAAAAGCTTTGAAAAGGAAGGCTGCCTTTTTACTTGAGATAGGTTGTCTTTTTTCATGACAGTGCGAGACGATGGAGGGTTGCAGAGACTAAGGGCTTAAGATTAGGGAGGCCTCCTTAGCCTTAACAGGGAACTCTTACAATCTACTCGCAGCCACATAGCAATAAATAAACATCGACAAAAAAACCCCATCCTTAACCACAACTAACTCCTCCATAAAATAAATCTTCAACTTCAAAACAAAAGCCACTGTAACACCTATCAAGTCTTATTTTACAGGGTAGGGATTTGGGGATAGGTTAGACATAGAGTCGCTGGTATACGTCTTCATGAAATGGTCTATCGTATGAAAGCTGAGAGCGTGAAGCGTAATTTCAGATGTCACATTCACAATAATAGACAGGCGGACCTAAAAACCCCAAAAACATAATTCATCTGAAAAAAGCTTGTAACAGCTGCCACGGCATAGAAAAGGATTTTTCAATGAATTAATAAAAAAAAAGGAACCAAAATGAGGGCTTAGAACATTGTGATGGAAGGGGATGCCGGCCATTCCATGCACACTTATGTCTCATCAGTTGCTGATACCCTTTGTTTTAGGATTACACTGCTCAGCTTCTTTTATCTGTCATGATGTAGCGTTAAAGAAGAATAAAACACATTTTGATGCAATGTTTGCTGGAGAGGTTCCTTTTGGTTACATATTTCGTCATTTTATAATATATGTTTTAATTTTCTCTCTCAAAAAAAGCATGCTGCCATCCATCGCCTTATGTCTCCTTTCCTTCTCACCTGCGGGTAGTACACTGACACTGCTTTGGTAATCAATGAAGAATAGGCAGTAAAAATAACATTTAAGGGGTTTAAGACTGATTTCAGCTCCATTAAAAGAAACCAAGCTGATGTAATCACATTGCACGACTTCAATTGATTGTTTCAGCACTTAGGAGATCAAAGGCCCGATGCGTAAGACCTGGTACCCCTCTGCTCACGCCATCCTGTCCTCTGCCCTCCTGTCCTCTGTCCTCTTCTGGCTGATTTGTTGCAGCCAACACACAAGTTTACAACGAAAACAGAGATTTTACCCAATCGTGCACGCTGCGCTTGAGTGAACGTGGAAGCGGGGCCTGATTAACTAAGGTTTTTTGTTCACCATCTCAGGTCTGCTGATTTAGATCATTGCATATTCAAAACCAGCCAATCAAAGCTTAGTTGGGTACTGACTCAAATAGTTAAGACTTTAATTATTGTATTCAAGTCCTCTTTGCAGCTCCAATCCCCAATTTACCCCAAGTTAGATTGGATAAAGAGGAAGAGTTAGACTTGAAGACGTTTCATGATGAATACTGTCCAGTAATTGGGGAAATCAGCAAAAAGATGGGTGAACTGAGGTCCATCCAACGTGATCTCCAAAACCTGTTCGTAAAAATTTATACAAAAATCTTGAACATAGAAATTCGTAACAATACATAGGAACTTGCGGTGGTTAAACACGCCACCTGAGTGAACAACATGGCGGACCATGTTGGATTCTTGAGTGAACGTCTCTCCGCCATGTTGGATTTTTTGAGGGGGTTAGGGTTAGTATTCTATTCTTACAAGTTAACATTGATTTCTCGTTAAAAATGCAATCATAACACGTTTATTTTACATCGTTGGACTTCACGTCGTTGGACTTCAAGTGTGTTTACGGGGTGCAGGTCCCCATTCACTTTGAATAGGGTGACGTCATCCGTGGCAGTCTGTATTTATTTAGTATGTATCACTACGAATTCATATCTTTTTCGTATACATTTTTACGAACATCAGGACCAAGACCTCACGCCACACAGTCTCTTCCGGTCGGCAGCCAGGCTCAGAGCCCAGGTCTCCCACTGACCGACTCTCACTTCCCTTCATAGTCCATTTTATTATTGTCCAATGCCATGCACCACCCGGCATGTCAAATTCATTGTATGTCTAACATACTTTGGAAATAAATGTTCCTGATTCCTGATGTGTGTCAAACCAAGAACATCCTGCGTCATCATTCTCATCTTCATCATCCCATTTCCATCATCCTCTCTCAGGTACCATGTTTGATCACTTTTATAGAGGCCTAATCTTAACCCAAAGTGAAAAAATGTCACAGAAAGGGCCACGAAAAAAAATAGATCTTACATAAAAGGAGAATGAAGCCAATTTTGGGATGTTGCAATAATGTATTATAAAAAATGATTTCTCATTCGGAAGGCTGTACGATGTTAATCTTTTATCATATTACAGCGTGTGAATAAAATATGTTTGGAGTGTTGGTCGTACAAAACAAGACATTCAAAGGCAAGCTCGTTTTTTTACGTTGCAGCTCTAAATCATATGATGGACCACTTACACATTCATGCTTTTCTATGCTTAAATTTCCACTGTAATGTTTATCAAATTCAGCTAATGTTGAACTGTAAGAACAAGCTTCAATCATGCAGTCCATTAAGCCAGACAGCCATACAGTCTTGGTACTGTTACACTCCTGTGAAAGCTAATGGGCTAAGGGGGGCTACAAAATAAGTGTAGAATAATAAGATCCTGCGATAGCATATACTTAGGTGGAGAAAGAGTAGAGTGGGGTGCCTGGTCACAACATTTAACTGCATGTGCTGGTGGTCTTCCTCTGTGTTTACATGTGCTGCCAGTGTGGCTTTGTGGGCTCATCAACACCCATGTAAAACTCAATCACACGCTGGCTAAGATCAGAGTAACAGAATCTAACACTCCTCTCTTTAGTGTCCTTCCTGTCCTTACATTCTCTGATCTAGTGCTTCTAGTGCTAAGTCTTGATCTTCTCTCTGCTTAGATAAGAGTCATAGGTGAAGGGTGATTGCGCAGGAGAGTAGGAGCTTGAGGGAGAGGAAGGATCAAACTGAAGGTCACACTTGTGACAGCGAGGAGAAAACGCATGAATGAAGACAAAGAAGGGGCATAATTAAACTAATCACGGCATTAGATGACCTAAAAAGCTAAACTGATCACTGGGCATTTTGGTGGGTAAAGCTAATTAGACGTTGCTGTGACTTTACCATGTGGTTGGAACAAAGAGAGGCATCATCTAATGTGAGGATCATCGTCTCTTCTGTGTGAGATTGAGATTTGGTTCAAACCACAGCAGCGGTGTCTCGTCGGAGCCGGGGAAACCCAGCGACACGACCGCATCAACGAGGCAAAATAAAGCGGTGCTCAGCTTCATTCCGCCGTGTGAGTCGCGTTGCTAAAAGGGGCTAAAAGAACAGTGGAACCGGAAAAATTTTCGCTCGCTCTTCCACCAAAACCTGAAGAAGGAAAATCA